GCGGAAAATGGAAGGGGAGGGGAGGGGAGGGGGCGTATGGGCGAGGATGTCGACGGGCAGCGGCACATGGACGGATGGAATAGAATAGAATTAGATAAGATAAGATATGGAGCGTACAATGTCGACGGATAGTGGACAACGTGACAGTCGAGATTTTCTGTACGATGCGGACAAAGTGCGGCGGGGGGATATACGACGACGAGGACGACGCTGATGACAGGCATGGAAGCGCCTCGATGGAATTCGAACCGCGGGGTACAAATACAAACACAAGCGCGGTCGTCGGGACGAATTGGAACTCGAGGGCGGGGTATGGCGGTCGTTTGCGTAGGACAAGAGGATGCGAAGGGTAGAATAGGACAGAATAGGACAGAGGGTTGGCATGGAGGGACGAGAACCGGGCCGAGAGTCCGCAGGGTACAATGCAAAGAAGAGAATAGACTGGACGCGGTCGTCGCCGGGAGTATGTACAAGGATGTCGGGAAACAAAGAATTAACGCGGCGGGAAACAAAGGTGGTCGGCGTACAAAGAACAGAACAAGCTCGGTCGCCAGACGAGTCGCCGCCTAGAGAATACAAGGACGCACCAGGCGCATTATTCTATTCTTCTGATTATTCTTGGGACGCCGCGACGTTGCGCGTCGGGCAAGGCGTGCAAATAGTTGACGTAGCGTCTAAACAATTGACGTCGTCCTTGGGCTTGACGTCCATTCATTCATCCTTCATGCCGGAATGGAGGATGCAGGACCGGTGGAAGGCCGACGAAACGCCGCCCGGGGAGGGCTATTGTTATCGCTCACGTCAATGGGACCGGCAGAGGCGTAGCCGGGAGCCGTCGAGGGGCGAGAACCGCACGTTGAGGGCCAGGCGTAGCTGAACCTTGTCGCGGTCGGATACGCGAAGGCAGGAGCAGGACGGCGGGGCCGCGAGGTACGACGGGGTCGCGGATGTGGGGCGTCCGCGAAGCCAGGCCAAGAAGTGCGGATGCGTGCATTGTGCGGTATTGACCTTTCTGGGCGTCGTTCGAAGGCAGACGGAAACGGACAATTGGCGTGTGAGAAATCGCGCAAGGATTAAACGCACATCCCAAAAGGAGGACGGAACAAGTGCGCAATCAGTCTCGGACTCTCAGGCTGTCTCTAGCTCCCACCCTGCACGAGGATCAAACCGCCAAGTCGACATGGCGGCAAAGCGTCGGGGGAGCGGCGACCGCTTAGATCACCATGCCTGCGTAGTGACCCGCGGCGGCGACGGCTACAGCAACCTCCGCGGGAGGGCGGTGCGTCCGTCTGGTTTCGCAACGGAGAATACAATGGCTTGAGTAGAGTGAGGCCCAAGGTTGATCCGACGCCCGATGTAGATCGGACACTTTGAATGAAACAACGCCCACGTGTGATCATGTGCAGAATGATGTGACGAGATTCCTGTGCCCCGTTCGGCTCGCTTGGCTCCACACGACTACTTATTTAAGAATCGCAAGAAATGGATCCACCGCTATCCGCTGCCAGCCAGTCTTCTGTCCTCCTTTCTTTTTCTTTCTTCAACCCACGCAAGAAATGGCACTCACCCTCTCCATGCCCTCCTCGTGGACCGCGTCCCTCCCCTACTCCCCCTCCCAAATCCAGCAGTACGAGGCACCCCAGCGCCCCCTGCGCCGCTCGAACACCTGGAACGCCAACAAGTCAAAGTTCGCATCTGCCCTCGCACTCGACCTCTCCCTCCCCGCCGCCTCCTTCGCCGTCGAGTGCCCTGCCCAGTCGCCCGCTGTGCAGCAAAAGCCCCGCCTGCGCCTCCCCGCGCTCGCCTCGGCCCTCCCCGCCCGCCGCTTCGACCCCTTCGCCGACGACGAGCCCGTCGCCTCCACCTCCGCCGCCACCCTCGAGAACACGCCCCCCACCCCCCGCGGCCGGCCCCTCACCCCCCTCGTCACCTCCTCCGCCCTCGCCCCCACCACCCCGGTAGTCGGCCGCCGCCGCGCCCCCTCCTTCTCCGCCGGCACCCCGCGCCCCGCCGCCTCCCTCGCCACCCTCTCCACCCTCTCCCGCACCACCGCCCCCTCCGCGTGCCGGCCCGTACCTCCAGCGCCGATCGCAGAGGTCAAGGGCGCCCCCACCCCCTTCCACGCGCGGCACTACCCCACGCCCGACGCCCGCGCGCGCCTCCTCGCCCGCACTTTGCTCAACCGCATCCACGCCGTCGGCCGCCCGCGCAGCCTCTACTCCTGCTCGTCCTACTCCAAGACGAGCAGGGGCGGGTACGAGGCCGAGGGCGGGGAGCGGGGGTATGTGCCGAGTCGCCTGAGCGAGTGTGTCGTGGCGTGCTAGGCTAGATGCGTTGTTGTTCATTGGGTCTCTCGGTCGTCATTGCATTGGGTTCACTGGGTCTCCTCGGGACTGTGTTGTACATCCTCCCTCTTGCCTTCCTTCTTCTTCACTTACTTTCCTCTTTCTTGCCGCCACTCCTTGCCCCGCATTCGTCCTACGCTACTTTCTTCTTCCCCTATTCTATTCTTTAATCCGCACCCTAGATTTCGTATAATTCGTACAAAGACTTTCCTCGACTGGGCTTGGTATTTAATATCTGTATTTACTAAAATCAAAAAGCACGCTCTCGTCTCATTCTTTGAGTTCCGAAGGAACGCGTGTACGGTCTTCTGCGCCTGCGGGTTCGCGGCCCGGGCGAAGCGCCGTTGGGCGCTCGGCCTGGAGGTCCCTTGCCAGACATGGGATGTCGGTCTGCAGGCTGCTGCAAATGCTCCTGCTGCCCGCTGTACCGTCCAGCACTGTCCCGACAAGCCCTCAGGAATCCTTCCTGTGATCGCGATGGAGATGTAGCACCCTAGGCCTATTCGATATCACTCCTGGGTCGGATCTATGCTGTCGCTTTATCTCGGACACTGTGGTGGGAATCACGACGCCGGGATCCCCGCCCACGCCTAGCCTAGCCTATGTACCTACGCCTTGTGATGTATCCCGCCAATAACAATCTGTGATCCGCCGTCCGTCGCTGCGAAAAGTACTGTCTGTCTGTCTTTTGCTCGTGAATCTTTGCTGACGCTTCTCTTCTCTGCAGGTGCAAATGCATGGACCGTCAAAGCAGCGTGCAACTAGCGCCTCTTCCTCGGCGTCTCGTCCACGCGCTGTCCTCGCCTTCTGGATTCTTATCCTTCTGATCACCAGCTGGAGCTGGATTCAGCACAGCGCACCCCCCTGTTCAATAGCGCTCCTCCCAACGACCACGGAACGCGATGCCAGTGCCGCTTATTCTTATTCAATTCATTGCTCGAGACGACGAGCCCGGAAACCCTAGCTTTTTCCTTGTCGTGTGATGAGTCAAGTGGTGACATCATTCCATTCTGCAACGACCGCGCGCCGGGAACCCCGACGCACTGGCATCCCGCCGATCGCTTGTCGTCCACCCATCCCAGTCTCTGACTTCACAAAGGGGATGGTGGGTGGGGGCGGCGGTGGGAAGCGTTCCGAAGGAACGCGTCTGCGCCGCAGGCATTCTGGTCCTTTCGGGCGCCGGGGATGGTGGGTGGGGGCGGCGGTGGGAAGCGTTCCGAAGGAACGCGTCTGCGCCGCAGGTATTCTTCTGCGCCTGCGGCGATTCATTCTGCGAGGGGCGCGTTAGCGGCCCGGGCGAGAGCGCCGTTCGATGCTCTCGCGACGGCGCCCACACCCCCGCACGCGCACCCCGCCAATCTGTGATCCGCCGTCCGTCGCCATGAAAAGTACTTGATGTCTGTCTGTGAATATGTTCGCAGAGTCTGAGTCTGCAGGTGCGACTGCTACTGCTGCATACTGTACTGTCAGCGCGCGCTTCTTCCGCGGCGTCGACGATTCTGTGATGTTTCGACGACGCCGGGGACCGCGGTGCGCATCCCCTCTTCTCTTCTTCAGGACTTACTGTCAAGGGTCAACGTCGCACACAAATCCGTCCTCCTCTGCATCGCTTTCGATACTGGTCCCCACTGGGGATCTCTGATGCTCTTGAATTGTTCAATTCAAACGCGACTCAGTCTCTTGGCCATGGCTTCCCAGGCAGTGCTTGGATTCCTGCCATGTCTCCCCTCAGTGCTCACTCGCGTTGCGCGTCACCAAGTATGCCTGTCTCTAGTGTTTACTGTGCGACTCCTCAGGCTTGGTCCCCACCACCTCCCCGACAAAGCGCGGATCCCGCCAGTCTCTGGTTCTGACGACACGTCGTCGCAAGCGCTGCCCCGCAGTGGACAGCGGATCTCGGCCCTTCAACCTCCCTCCCGACCCTTCAACCGCCAATCAGCGAGTACCGCGGGGACCCCGGCTAATAGGCGAGACTTCCGTCCTTCCGTCGCGTGCGTCCGAAGCCCGCAGCATAAGAAGCGCACACCCAGCTCCGATCAAACGAAAGTGAACGGCGCACATGGACGCGTCGATCACCCATGGACGCGTCAATGTCAATCACCCCTCTCAGCCTTTGATTGCGAGGGTGGCGGGATGGCGGGATGGCGGGATGTTCACTCAGGCCCCCGTCGCGACGATTTTCATTTTACAAAATAATACTTATTCAGGGCAAGTTTTCCGAGCCTCGAACGGCGGGATGATAAAGTTTTCAGCTGGTCTGCGGGACGGAAGATGATTCGCGGCGCGCCAACCGACAGAGAAATGTTGAACATTTCTCTCCAGAGTCCAGACGTACGCGTGATCCGCAGAAAAAAGACCAAATTGAAACTGGCCAGTGGGAGGGAGGCAGTGCCGCCACCCACCTAATTCATTACAGGACAACTCCCGACGTGCGACCCGACAGGTGCACATGGATGGGTGATTGGGCCGGTGGCGGGATGGCGGGATGTCAGTGCTTACTGGCTCGGGATCCTCCAAATTATTAATAGCGGGATTACCAGAATATGTGGGAAGATACATGCGGTTTCTGGAGTACACCACACAACCAGGTCAAGAGTTTTGAACTAGCTGGTGCCGACGAAAGAAGGGTAACTTTAAAAAGTCTAAGGAGGAAAAAGGTCGTGCCCGGAATCGAACCGGGGTTACCAGAAATCCATATGTCCACGTGCACGAAATTATCAGAATCTGGAGTGCTAACCCCTACACCACACAACCGACGTGCAGTTTTTTCCCCTAGCACATTAGGGCGGCGTGCTCAGAATGGGAATGTGGACATAAGTGAAAAAGAGCTGAACGAGAATGAGGTTGGAATGAGAGTTAAGAGGTTGGGAAGCTAATTTGGTGATCCGACGCCACTTACGGCGTGGTTATCTAAGGCCCGTGTTCAGCCGAGGAAGCACAATTTTCTGGTGTCTCGGAGGTGGCGCCGCGTGGGGATCGTACATCATTCGAAGGGTTGGATTTGAAATGAGAGCCTGAAAGCCTGCGGTTTCAACTTCCAAATGACACCGGGAGAGAAAAGCAGAATCGATACATCAACGGGCCGGACTCGTCCACAACGCGTGGGGATTGTCCATCATTCGAAGTAGTTTCGGTAACTAGGCGCAGGGTTGGGTTTCGGATAGAGGATCGATATTCAATTTATCCCTGCGGTTTCAAAAAAAATGGAGAGACAGCGTTGTTTTCTTGTACCTATTCCGGCCTAGTCCCACCCCCACACGCACCGCAAAACGGCACAAATGATGGGGCGATCTTCAGGTTTGGGATTTTGGGTGCGGCGCGTGCGGACGCGGAGATGCGGGGCCTTTTCAATCCCCCATTTCGACATGGGCCCAGGTTTCGAAAGTGGATTCGAACTGCGGTCGGGAGTTGCCGCTGTTGGCCAATGCTAGCGCTTGGACTTCAACCCCTCAGTATAGGGTTTTTCCTGGGAATATAAACGTACACAATTCAGTTCTCCTCGGAACAGGATCGGCTCGATGGCCTATTTCTTAACGGGACCGCGCCGGAATATAGCTACCTACCTACCTATTATGTGCGATCAGAATGGAAACCGACCTCCCTTTTGAGCTGAATTCTCACGTCCTCCCGCGCCACCGCATATCAGTGCTGTGTCCGTCACTGCAATGAGTTGAATCACAACAAGGAATCCGGCGCGGGGCACCTCGTCCCGAGTGGAATGGAATAGAAACCAACCCCGACGCAAATCAATGCGCAAGTAACAGAGAGAATACGTGATGTGTCCAGTTGTAATGAACTGGAAACATGTCCTTCCCCCGCCACTGCAAATCAATTCGGTACATCTCAAGTCAAAATGTCTCACCTCAATGCATCATTCAGAAATAAACCGCAGTCGCGCTTGGCAACACAGCCAACCGCAGCATAATCTTCCCTTGGACCCATCTTCGTCTATTACCGACAGCCGGGAATATCTGATGCCATGCCCTTGCACTTATTCTCTGAACGTTCTGAGTTAAATTTCGGGCGGATTCGGGATGGGCCGGAATGCGGGATTTATCGCGATACGCTGATGAGAAGATTAGATTAGATGGGAATGAGGCGGTGCACGCCGGACAAAAACGGATACAAATGGCTTTTCCTCTTCCTTGTCCTCTTCCTTCCTCTTCACAGGCCTTCTGCACATCCAGCGGCGACTCTCGAATTACAAACAACCAGGTTCCACGCATCCTGTGCCATTTTGTCTCCTCATCGGGAATCGCGATCCGCAAAAATTAAAAGCATCCATTTGGATTAGCTTCCGCCCTTGTTCTTTGTGTTCCGAATCAGGGGCAATCAGATTCTGCCCCTTGTTCTTTGCCTCCGCCATCTAGCAACGCAACCAATTCCAGATCTTCAACAATGTCCGCCCCCGATCTTCCGCGATCAATCTAGAGATCAGCTTCTGCTCTTGTTCTTTGTCTTGTGATTTGGATCCTCCATATTCATTTCGTCAAGGAGAAAAACTAGGTTCCGCTTCTTGTTCTTTGCTTCCGTCACAGATCGCAGTTAATTCCAGATCTTGATCCCGCCTCTCACCTTGTACTGTGCCTCCGCTGTCGCCGATCTACATTGTCTGCTCCATTCGCCAGAACTCGAAGATCGGAATACTCCTCGTGACTCTGAACTTCGTGCTTTCTTTAGCGTCGTGGGACGTCACCTTGTTTCCCGAATTGTCGAGTCCTCGTAAGGCCACGGTAATTCAATGGCAAACAAAAGAATAATTCTCATCTCAATCGATTCCATATCCGTCACAAGTAGATTCTGGATGGCGCTCTTTGTTCTTTGCCTCTCGCGTCGGGTTGTATTATTTCCAATTTGAACTCATTTCGTGAGTAGGAACATCCTGCCATGTTCCACCTCTTGTTTTCTGGCGCGCCAATTGGTTTCAGATCCCGAATGAGCGCTCTCGGGTGTGCAAATCAATCGGCCTTCCCTTCGGGAAGTCAATCAGACCCGCCATCCAGTGAAATCGAAATCGTTGTTCGAAAGGTGCTAATGTACATTAGAGTACAAATGTGCAAAACTAGTGTTCGAGGGACCCCAGTCAGAGGTGCGGGATATAAACACTCCAATTCATATCTACCAATGCACCGGGAGGTAGCGCTCGCAAGGCCGTGAAAGCCAGTACGATCAGAAAAACGCGCGACACAATGTAGATGGGGATTACAACCATACATACAATGGCGAGAAGTGTCGGGGCCGAGAAAGTGACCGACTGCAATTTCAGGGCATTCCCAATGACCAAGTCCGGCGCGGAGAAAGATACGATGACGGCAGGAATTGCGGCAACCAACAACGAGCAAGACCTCCACATCCACATTTCGTCTGCGGAGAGGAAGTCTGCGTTCCAGGCCGCACAGTGGATGACGCCAAAAACGGTCCCCATCAGGCATTCGATCGAGATGGAGAAGACGATGTATTTCTCCTCTGTGATCTGCATGGACCAGAATGAAGGAACCGAGTTCGACGATGTTGGTTTGTACGGGTATCGTGAATATCCGGTCAGGACGCTGAAGAACCGCGTCAACATCGGGACGCAGTTAAGTTCAGGTTCATTGTCCGCCGGATCTCCGGCGGGTCCAATTAGGATAGGCTCTTGAACATCAAGAGGCTTTTCCCACCAAAGTAACCAGATGAAGACGTTTACGATGGCGAACGCCAAGGTAGCGACTTCGAGTTCAGTTACAGGAAGGCGTTGGACGACGCGGGCCAAAAACTGTATGGTGAACCACAGACCCTGTGCGAGTGCCACACCCTTTGAAAGCGCGTCTCCTTTGCTTTTGTCCATGATATCTGCCACTTTAACATCCCGTATTGCAGAAAGATATTTAGGCCCGAGGAGCGGGTCCTCCAACTGCTTCCTTGTTGCAATGGGATGGTGGCCATTGCGCAAAACGAAGCCCCCCATAGATAGGAAGGACCCGTGAGTTATTGAGAGGTCAAATTCTGTGGGGAATGAGCATCAGACAGACTTCAAGTCAACGATGAACGTACTCTTCGAGAGAAACCGAGCAGCAAAAAACTGCCTGGCCGCGAACCCCACCATCACTTCAGGAGCAATTATCGCGATGACCATCATTCGAAGCCTACGCCCCATGAGGGAAAGCCAGCTCTGGTTGGGCGGAGGCACATTCGGGTGCACCGAGACCCAAGTGCACGCAAACACGGTGGTGAGGCAACCCCAGACAATATCAAACAACCTACGACAGTTGTTTATATCGTCGCAGGAGTAAGCTTCTGCTCGGAGGTTAAGGACGTATGCCTGCGAAAAGCGTGCGAAGAGGAGTAGGAGAAGCATTGTGGGCGTCTGTGAATTCAACCGAGAAAAATATGAGCTCCTGTCGTTCATCTTGACAGCGGCGAATAAGACTACGGAATGGGCGCCAACTTGAATTCTCGGGGTTTCTCAATGACATCTAATACAGCAGTTATGTTTGCCGAATAAAAGGGAGACACGCACAGGCCTCGTTGATCCATTACGGTACACCTTTCAAGTTGAACCGGAGATTCCAAGCAAGTTGTTTTGTCGCAGAAGTCACAGTTCCAAACGAAATATCAAGTGAATTTAGGGCGCCAACGGTAGGAGTGTTTGGACTACGGACTAGCAAGACCAATTGAATACTGACGCAAATCCTGGATTGTTAATCAGATGCCCGATAACTTTGACATTTACCCCCCTTTCTCGTGGCAATCTCCGAGCACTCCTCATATTCATGCTTCCAAGTTTCTATTCGGAATAATAGTATTTAGCCTCTCAGCACATTACCGTAATGGCCATCCCTGGACCCTAGATGTGGACTCGACTCGCGGTGATATCCGGAGGTCTTTGCGCGGCTTGACAGCATGCAGATACAGTGGGAAGATGCTTCTTGTGTCCCTGCCGTCAGCACTGGACATGCGTATACCATGCTATTATTGATATTAATCTCGTTCTGATACAGTCCGGAACCAACATCGGACGGTCCTCTGTCGGTTCCGCGTCAGTCAAAATAATGATATGGTCACTCGCGAGAACTCAGTATTGTCGATTCCTTGTTACCAAGATTAGCGTCCATGCACGAGACACACACGAGGCCCCGAATTAACCCAATTTTGGCAGGATGTATAGCAACGTCACGATAATTTGAAGAGGTCAGGTTTGGCCTATACAGTCATTGGACCGGCGGATCAGACGTGCACAAAAATAAGCAAGCCACAAAATATAAACAGCACGGAACTTCCCAGTTGACTTGATTGATTTGACGTCGTCGACACTGCCTCTGGTTGCGGGTGAACATGGATGCAGAACTTGAACTTGAAGGCGCGAACAGCACGCTTATTTGGCGTATGTAAAATCATGCTGAATGAAGTGTATGTACTAGAAAAGAGCCGATGCACATGTTGCGTCTCTGGCACTCCTTGTCTCACAATTAAGAAAAGTGTGAGAACCCCCTCGCTCCCACGCTCCATCGGCTCTCAATTCTCCAATTCTTATTGTTTGATCGTTCTTTCTCCATTCTTGATCGAGTCTAATTGTTATTCTCCATCCTTGACCAAGACTTCTTGTTCTAATTGTTCAACCATGTCTCAGATCTTTCAATTCAGTTCTTCTTCTATGACAGGGATTAGGCCTCTTTGAGGTGGGTGCTGAACCTTGGGAAAATTGGAATAAAGCTGGAAGGGTTGCTAACATTTTGGGCCATTATTGTAATTCTGAATGTGGTTCTGGCGAGAGG